AAAGTTCTAAATGTTGGACAGGACAATAACCATGCCACATATAAACTAAATAATGTAGATCTTAATATTACGGATTGCGAAAAAGATTTAGGAGTTCTGGTTAGCAGTAATCTGAAACCAAGTGTTCAGTGGTCAGTCGTCACGTGAGGTCACAGACCCTGAGCTGCTTGGGGATTAGCGTGGACGGTTACAAAGCATGGCTTGCTTCTACAGTGTTTTAAAAGCTGAGGTTGGAGAGTTGAAGGAGGAGGTCTTGCTTCTCCAGGAGGAGATTAGGAGGCTGAAGGTCCACCTCAATGGGCCTGGGAGAGAGTGTGAGGTGGTTGGAGATGTGGGGAATGAGGCTTCTAGCAGTGAGGTGCAGTCTGTCTCTCACTGTGAGGAGGCTGTAGTGGGGTGTAGCAACGGCTACCAGCAGTGAGGTGCAGCCCAGCACCTGCTACAAGTGGCGAGTTGTTCACAGTAATGGGAGGCGCATCAGAGTAAGGAAAGTTAAGAGTGCAGATCTGAAGGTAGGAAATCGCTTCTCTGTTCTCCAGGATGAATGTACTTCAGTGGCCAGTGAAGGTAAGGGTACTACTGCCCCTGCTAATGAAGGTAAGCGCATTCTTGTGGTTGGTGACTCTCAGGTAAGATATGTTGATCGTGCTTTTTGTAATAGGAATAAGAAGATGAGAGATAGAGTGTGCTTCCCTGGAGCTGGTGTTGGGACATTGTCAACAGACTGGATAATATCATGTCAGGTAATGGGAACAAGCCCATTATCTGTCTCAGTGCTGTGGAAATGATATTGGGAAGGGTAGGAGAGAGAGCTGCTAGATAAGTACAGGTCAGCTATAGATTTCATTAAGTCTAAGGGAGGGATCCCAATCATATGTAGCATCTTGCCTAAAGGGGAGTAGGAAATGAATGGTTGTCTAGGGCAATTGGTGTAAATTGCTGGCTAGACAGATACTGCAAGGAACTTGCAATCCCATTCATTGACAACTGGAACAACTTTTATGGCAAACATGATATGTATGCAAGGGATGGGGTTCATCTCTCTGGGGCAGGGGTGGTAGCACTTGCAGACTCGATTGAGAAGGCCATTGGTGAAATGCCTATGATTTTAAACTGATGGAAGATAGAGGTATGGGTGTGTGTGGGAAACAAGCAGGTTGCAACACTAGGGTTGGAAACAGTAAATGTATAAAAGGCATTCAGCATGAAGTTATAAATAAAGACAATAGAACAGGTCAGCAAACAAAGGGGGACAGCAGAGGCAGCAAGGGACTAGCTCCCTTAAGGTTTACTATACTAATAGCAGGAGTGTTAGAAATAAGATAGATGAGCTAAGATTAATTGCAAGTGCAGGAAACATAGATATTATTGCTATAACAGAGACCTGGCTCAATCTGAAAGATAGAGAGATGCCCTCTGAATGTCACATACAAGGCTATAAATTATTCCACACTGACAGGGTCAACAGAAAGGTGGTGGAGTAGCGATGTATGTCAGAGACAATTTAAATTTGTTGTGTTAGACAAGATATTAAATTAGAAGCGTCAGCCACTGAATCTGTTTTGGTTACCAGCTTCTCGAGGGCCGAGAAAAACTAATTTTGGGTGTGATTTACAGGGCCCCAAATCTTGATAGGGAGTGCAGTAAACTTCTATGGGACGAAATTCGTAAGGCATCTACATACGAAAATGTTGTGCTAATGGGAGATTTCAACTATAGACAGATTGACTGGAGCAATTTGACAGGAAATTTAGAGTCGGGTGACTTTCTTGATACGATCCAGGATGTTTTTTAAAACAGTTTTGTGACAGAGCCAACTAGGGGAAATAACCTCCTTGACTTGGTTCTTGCCAGTAGGGAAACACTAATTAATAATCTTGAGGTTAATGATGAGCTTGGGGAGAGTGATCACAAATCACTCAGTTTTAACATATCATGGAATTCCCCTAATAATGGCAATCAAGTCTCCGTCCCTGACTTTCGCTTGGCTGATTTCATAGGACTGAAAAATTACTTAGGTGGGCTGAACTGGAATGACCTGACTAGGGGTCAGGTAGGTGGTGATGGTTGCCGATATGATGCTTTCCAGGGCATAGTTTCTAGCTGCTCAGTCAAATTATGTTCCAAATAGGGAAATCAGATCAAACAAAAATGATCCTAAATGGATGAACAATAGATTAAAATATCTGATTGGTCAAAAGAGAGGCATATATAGGCAAATCAAAAGAGGAGAGGGGCAATTAAGAAATCGATATATTCAGTTAAAGAGAGAAATAAAAAGGGAATTAGAAAAGCAAATAGAGATTATGAGGTTAAAGTTGCAAGAGAATCGAAGACTAACCCAAAAGGATTCTTTCAGGTATACAGAAGTAAGATCAGGGACAAGATAGGCCCACTCAAAAGTTCCTCGGGTCAGCTCACTGACAGTGATAAGGAAATGTGTAGAATTTTTAACACATACTTCCTCTCAGTTTTTTACACAGGAGGATACCAGCGATATTCCAGTAATGATAAATTATGTAGAACAGGACGATAATAAACTGTGCACTATTAGGGTCACAAGTGACATGGTCCTTAGGCAAATAGATAAATTAAAACCTAACAAATCCCCAGGCCCTGATGAACTGTATGCAAGGGTTTAAAGGAATGTAAAGAGGAGCTTAGCACACCTTGGCTAATCTTTTCAACATATCACTACAAACTGGCATGGTGCCAGAAAAGTGGAAAATGGCAAATGTGATACCTATTTTCAAAAAGGTGACAGGTCCTTTAGCTTCGAACTATAGACCAATAAGCCTAACCTCCATAGTGGGAAAATTTATGGAATCAATAATTGCCGAGGCAGTTCGTAAGCCACCTTGAAAAGCATAAATTAATCAACGAATTCAGCATGGTTTTACAAAGGGGCGTTCCTGGCCTTACGAATTTATTAACTTTTTTCACTAAGGTATTTGAGGAGGTAGATCATGGTAATGAATATGATATTGTGTATATGGACTTCAGTAAGGCTTTTGACAGGGTCCCACATCAGAGACTATTGAGGAAAATTAAGCACATGGAATAGGAGGAGAAATTTTTTCCTGGATAGAGGCATGGTTTGACAAATAGGCAGCAGAGAGTTTGCATAAATGGGGAGAAATCAGAGTGGGGAAGCGTCACGAGCGGTGTTCCACAGGGTCAGTGTTTGGGTCCCCTGCTGTTCACAATCTACATAAACGACATAGATGAGGGCATAAAGAGCGACATCGGCAAGTTTGCCGATGACACCAAAATAGGCCGTCGAATTCATTCTGACGAGGACATTCGAGCACTCCAGGAAGATTTGAATAGACTGATGCAGTGGTCGGAGAAAGTGGCAGATGCAGTTTAATATAGACAAATGCAAAGTTCTAAATGTTGGACAGGACAATAACCATGCACATATAAACTAAATAATGTAGATCTTAATATTACGGATTGCGAAAAGATTTAGGAGTTCTGGTTAGCAGTAATCTGAAACCAAGACAACAGTGCATAAGTGTTCGCAATAAGCTAATAGAATCCTTGGCTTCATATCAAGAAGCATAAATAATAGGAGTCCTCAGGTTGTTCTTCAACTCTATAAATCCTTGGTTAGGCCTCATTTAGATTATGCTGCACAGTTTTGGTCACCGTATTACAGAATGGATATAAATTCTCTGGAAAATGTACAAAGGAGGATGACAAAGATGATCCCATGTATCAGAAACCTTCCCTATGAGGATAGACTAAGGGCCCTGAAAACTGCACTCTCTAGAAAGACGTAGAATTAGGGGGATATGATTGAGGTGTATAAATGGAAGACAGGAATAAATAAAGGGGATGTAAATAGTGTGCTGAAAATATCTAGCAGACAGGACTCGCAGCAATGGTTTTAAGTTGGAAAAAATTCAGATTCAGGAAGGATATAGGAAAGTACTGGTTTGGTAATAGAGTTGTGGATGAGTGGAACAGACTCCCAAGTACCGTTATAGAGGCCAGAACGTTGTGTAGCTTTAAAAATAGGTTGGATAAATACATGAGTAGATGTGGGTGGGTGTGAGTTAGACCTGATAGCTTGTGCTAACAGGTCGGTTGCCGTGTTCCTCCCTTAAGTCAATGTGACCTGACCTGACTAGGTTGGGTGCATTGGCTTAAGCCGGTAGGAGACTTGGACCTGCCTCGCATGGGCCAGTGGGCCTTCTGCAGTGTTCCTTCGTTCTTATGTTCTTATGTAATCAGTCCCTCAACCTAGGAGTAGGTGCGAAGAGCACCGTAGTCGTGGAGATTCTGAAGCAGAAGCAAGGATCCCGGCGCTTATATAGCGCCAGGCTCCTTGCTTCTGCTTCAGATTCTCCACGACTATGGTGCTGTTCGCACCTACTCCTAGGTTGAGGGACTGATTACCTCATCTTCTGTACATAGTTCTACTGTCTTCAAGTTATGTCCTAGAATTTGTATTGATAAAGCCACTGGATGGCGAAACGTCTACAATAAAGATACCCAGATGTTGCACGTGTGTCTTAATTTCAACACTTGGATGCATTTACTGCCGAAACGTTTCGCCTGCGCAACAGGTTTCTTCAGTCGAATACTAGAAGAATATAACAGTGTATATATTGTAATAAAGTTGGTAGAATTACCGACAATATGAAAAGTAAAATGACACAAGTGCAACTAATGTGACATTTTATTGTAGCAACGTTTCGCTCTCCAGGAGCTTTGCCAAGCCGTTACCGGCGAAACGTTGCCACAATAAAATGTCACATTAGTTGCACTTATGTTTAGTGTATATTTTCCTATCATCAACTAAAGAAGCTTATTGTGCTGGCGAAACGTTTCGGCAGTAAATATACTCCAGTGTTTGTTGGTGTTACTACTGGTGTGACTAGTCAATGGTTGATTTGTTCTTTTGTAATGGAACTCTGTGTCGTGCAGAAGTCCGAGTCTCCAGAAGGGAATACACTCATGACAGGTGTGAGACACAAGAATTCTGTGTTTACCTTCACGTAGGTCTTCCAGCGTCAGGTTGTGGTAATGCTCAGGTGTGCGCTGAGGAAGCTCTGGTCCCAAGGTTTTTTACTTGCTGAGGTAGAGATATGCAGGACTTCCTGTCCACAGCGACTGGCTCAGTGTCCTTTGACTAGTGTATATCCTCCGTGACTGGCTTTTCCTGTGACTAGAAAACGATTCTGTGCAACGAGATCATATGCAGTATCTTTAGAGTGATGTGAGATATCCTCGAGAATACACGATTCACTTGACGTAGTTATCCCTCCCTTTTATAAGATTTTCTTTCACTGAATTTGTCTCCTGGCTTCTGTTAGTGCTCTTCAGGTGGAATGGCGACAGCACTCAGAGCAGTGCTGGAGAAGGTGCACTTAGGAGATGTTAGCGGTGGGAGGTGAGGCACAAGACTGTCCCCACTCAGGCGCAAGTTACCGAGGTCAATCCCGCCTCGGCAGAGCTGGGAAGTCCCGGTACTGTGTCTGGCGAGCTGTTTCTTGTGCCCTCCCCCGCCCTGGTGACGCAGCAGTGACGCCGCCTCGGTGTGACGTGGGAATGACGTAACTTGCCGTAGTGACGCTGGTCTGGACCTCAGCACCCAGTAGAGCAGGGGCAACACGCTTACTCGTATCCATCTCCTTAACCAGTATGCCAACACTGTTTTTTCAGATAATTGACGCAAATCGGGGAAACTTTAAGAGATTGGTTTATGAGTAGGTGCCTGCTGGACCTGACTAGTAGGTGCCTGCTAAACCTGAATAGTAGGTGCCTGCTGAACCTGACTAGTAGGTGCCTGCTGGACCTGACTAGTAGGTGCCTGCTGAACCTGACTAGTAGGTGCCTGCTGGACCTGACTAGTAGGTGCCTGCTGGACCTGACTAGTAGGCGCCTGCTGAACCTGACTAGTAGGTGCCTGCTGAATCTGACTAGTAGGTGCCTGCTGAACCTGACTAGTAGGTGCCTGCTGGACCTGACTAGTAGGTGCCTGTTGAACCTGACTAGTAGGTGCCTGCTGGACCTGACTAGTAGGTGCTTGCTGGAACTGACTAGTAGGGGCCTGCTGGACCTGACTAGTAGGTGCCTGCTGAACCTGACTAGTAGGTGCCTGCTGAACCTGACTAGTAGGTGCCTGCTGGACCTGACTAGTAGGTGCCTGCTGGACCTGACTAGTAGGTGCCTGCTGGACCTGACTAGTAGGTGCCTGCTGAACCTGACTAGTAGGTGCCTGCTGAACCTGACTAGTAGGTGCCTGCTGAACCTGACTAGTAGGTGCCTGCTGGAACCTGACTAGTAGGTGCCTGCTGACCTGACTAGTAGGTGCCTGCTGGACCTGACTAGTAGGTGCCTGCTGGGCCTGACTAGTAGGTGCCTGCTGAACCTGACTAGTAGGTGCCTGCTGGACCTGACTAGTAGGTGCCGGCTGGACCTGACTAGTAGGGGCCTGCTGGACCTGACTAGTAGGGGCCTGCTGAACCTGACTAGTAGGTGCCCGCTGGACCTGACTAGTAAGTGCCTGCTGGACCTGACTAGTAGGTGCCTGCTGAACCTGACTAGTAGGTGCCTGCTGGACCTGACTAGCAGGTGCCTGCTGGACCTGACTAGTAGGGGCCTGCTGAACCTGACTAGTAGGTGCCCGCTGGACCTGACTAGTAGGTGCCTGCTGGACCTGACTAGTAGGTGCCTGCTGGACCTGACTAGTAGGTGCCTGCTGAACCTGACTAGTAGGGGCCTGCTGGACCTGACTAGTAGGGGCCTGCTGAACCTGACTAGTAGGTGCCCGCTGGACCTGACTAGTAGGTGCCTGCTGGACCTGACTAGTAGGTGCCCGCTGGACCTGACTAGTAGGTGCCTGCTGGACCTGACTAGTAGGTGCCTGCTGGACCTGACTAGTAGGTGCCTGCTGGACCTGACTAGTAGGTGCCTGCTGAACCTGACTAGTAGGTGCCTGCTGGACCTGACTAGTAGGGGCCTGCTGAACCTGACTAGTAGGTGCCCGCTGGACCTGACTAGTAGGGGCCTGCTGAACCTGACTAGTAGGTGCCTGCTGGACCTGACTAGTAGGTGCCTGCTGGACCTGACTAGTAGGTGCCTGCTGAACCTGACTAGTAGGTGCCTGCTGAACCTGACTAGTAGGTGCCTGCTGGACCTCACTAGTAGGTGCCTGCTGGACCTGACTAGTAGGTGCCTGCTGAACCTGACTAGTAGGTGCCTGCTGAACCTGACTAGTAGGTGCCTGCTGAACCTGACTAGTAGGGGCCTGCTGAACCTGACTAGTAGGTGCCTGCTGAACCTGACTAGTAGGGGCCTGCTGAACCTGACTAGTAGGGGCCTGCTGAACCTGACTAGTAGGTGCCTGCTGGACCTGACTAGTAGGTGCCTGCTGAACCTGACTAGTAGGTGCCTGCTGGACCTGACTAGTAGGTGCCTGCTGGACCTGACTAGTAGGTGCCTGCTGGACCTGACTAGTAGGTGCCTGCTGGACCTGACTAGTAGGTGCCTGCTGGACCTGACTAGTAGGTGCCTGCTGGACCTGACTAGTAGGTGCCTGCTGAACCTGACTAGTAGGTGCCTGCTGAACCTGACTAGTAGGTGCCTGCTGGACCTGACTAGTAGGTGCCTGCTGGACCTGACTAGTAGGTGCCTGCTGAACCTGACTAGTAGGTGCCTGCTGAACCTGACTAGTAGGTGCCTGCTGAACCTGACTAGTAGGTGCCTGCTGGACCTGACTAGTAGGTGCCTGCTGGACCTGACTAGTAGGTGCCTGCTGGACCTGACTAGTAGGTGCCTGCTGGACCTGACTAGTAGGTGCCTGCTGGACCTGACTAGTAGGTGCCTGCTGGACCTGACTAGTAGGTGCCTGCTGGACCTGACTAGTAGGTGCCTGCTGGACCTGACTAGTAGGTGCCTGCTGGACCTGACTAGTAGGTGCCTGCTGGACCTGACTAGTAGGTGCCTGCTGGACCTGACTAGTAGGTGCCTGCTGAACCTGACTAGTAGGTGAGCACTCCCCTTTCTTATGTTTTCACACCCTTTTCGTCAGAAATTCGGTCATCTGTATAAATTCAGTTCGTTATATCCTCCTTGAGGCACCGTGTGACCCTTCCAGACTGACCGTGATGATAATAATAATAATAATAATAATAATAATAATAATAATAATAATAATAATAATAATAATAATAATAATAATAATAAATTTGGGGTGCATGATGTATGTTATGTTACATAATGTACTGTTGCTACTGTTGTCACTGTTGCTACTGTTGTCACTGTTGTCACTGTTGCTACTGTTGTCACTGTTGCTACTACCACTGTTGTCACTGTTGCTGCTACTACTGTTGTCACTGTTGCTGCTACTACTGTTGTCACTGTTGCTGCTACTACTGTTGTCACTGTTGCTGCTACTACTGTTGTCACTGTTGCTACTACTACTGTTGTCACTGTTGCTGCTACTACTGTTGTCACTGTTGCTGCTACTACTGTTGTCACTGTTGCTACTACTACTGTTGTCACTGTTGCTGCTACTACTGTTGTCACTGTTGCTGCTACTACTGTTGTCACTGTTGCTACTACTACTGTTGTCACTGTTGCTGCTACTACTGTTGTCACTGTTGCTGCTACTACTGTTGTCACTGTTGCTGCTACTACTGTTGTCACTGTTGCTGCTACTACTGTTGTAACTGTTGCTGCTACTACTGTTGTCACTGTTGCTGCTACTACTGTTGTCACTGTTGCTGCTACTACTGTTGTCACTGTTGCTACTACTACTGCTGTCACTGTTGCTGCTACTACTGCTGTCACTGTTGCTGCTACTACTGCTGTCACTGTTGCTGCTACTACTGTTGTCACTGTTGCTGCTACTACTGCTGTCACTGTTGCTGCTACTACTGTTGTCACTGTTGCTGCTACTACTGTTGTCACTGTTGCTGCTACTACTGTTGTCACTGTTGCTGCAACTACTGTTGTCACTGTTGCTACTACTACTGCTGTCACTGTTGCTGCTACTACTGTTGTCACTGTTGCTGCTACTACTGTTGTCACTGTTGCTGCTACTACTGTTGTCACTGTTGCTACTACTACTGCTGTCACTGTTGCTGCTACTACTGTTGTCACTGTTGCTGCTACTACTGTTGTCACTGTTGCTGCTACTACTGTTGTCACTGTTGCTACTACTACTGTTGTCACTGTTGCTGCTACTACTGTTGTCACTGTTGTTACTACTACTGCTGTCACTGTTGCTACTACTACTGTTGTCACTGTTGCTGCTACTACTGTTGTCACTGTTGCTGCTACTACTGTTGTCACTGTTGCTACTACTACTGCTGTCACTGTTGCTGCTACTACTGTTGTCACTGTTGCTGCTACTACTGTTGTCACTGTTGCTGCTACTACTGTTGTCACTGTTGCTACTACTACTGTTGTCACTGTTGCTGCTACTACTGTTGTCACTGTTGCTACTACTACTGCTGTCACTGTTGCTGCTACTACTGTTGTCACTGTTGCTGCTACTACTGTTGTCACTGTTGCTGCTACTACTGTTGTCACTGTTGCTACTACTACTGCTGTCACTGTTGCTGCTACTACTGTTGTCACTGTTGCTACTACTACTGCTGTCACTGTTGCTGCTACTACTGTTGTCACTGTTGCTACTACTACTGCTGTCACTGTTGCTACTACTACTGTTGTCACTGTTGCTACTACTACTGCTGTCACTGTTGCTACTACTACTGTTGTCACTGTTGCTACTACTACTGCTGTCACTGTTGCTGCTACTACTGCTGTCACTGTTGCTGCTACTACTGCTGTCACTGTTGCTGCTACTACTGCTGTCACTGTTGTTGCTACTACTGTTGTCACTGTTGCTACTACTACTGCTGTCACTGTTGCTGCTACTACTGCTGTCACTGTTGCTGCTACTACTGTTGTCACTGTTGCTACTACTACTGCTGTCACTGTTGCTGCTACTACTGCTGTCACTGTTGCTGCTACTACTGTTGTCACTGTTGCTGCTACTACTGCTGTCACTGTTGCTGCTACTACTGCTGTCACTGTTGCTGCTACTACTGTTGTCACTGTTGCTACTACTACTGCTATCACTGTTGCTACTACTACTGTTGTCACTGTTGCTACTACTACTGCTATCACTGTTGCTGCTACTACTGCTGTCACTGTTGCTGCTACTGCTGTTGTCACTGTTGCTACTACTACTGTTGTTACTGTTGCTACAACTACTGCTGTCACTGTTGCTACTACTACTGCTGCCACAGTTGCTGCTACTACTGTTGTCACTGTTGCTACTACTACTGTTGTCACTGTTGCTACTACTACTGTTGTCACTGTTGCTACAACTACTGCTGTCACTGTTGCTACTACTACTGCTATCACTGTTGCTACTACTACTGTTGTCACTGTTGCTGCTACTACTGTTGTCACTG